TAGGTACGCATATGCATACTAAATTTTAATATTTATTTATATAATATTAAATAAATATCAAATTTTAGATATAAGATATGTGCATATATAAATATTATAAGTATATAAATTCTTCTTATATTTTCCTTCATTCAAAATTGTTCTACCTATTCATTTTTTAGCTTTACGAATAAAGATCAGATATCTGATGATAATTAGTGAAAATTATCCCTTTATATACATAAATATGTGCAGAAGTTATTTCAGATGTGTGAACAAGACTTGTAAGGCGAGGAAGAAGCTGGAGTGGCCACCAAATGAACCAAACAACATAGAAACAACGTATGAAGGAGACCATAACCACAGAGATCGTTCAGAGAATGAAGAAGCTGGAATTGCAGCTAATCAATATGATTTAGCTACGCAGATGTTTGGATCTGCAAGGACTTAATTAGCTTGTTTTACATTTTTATAGTAACTTTATAATTCAATAATAGAGGGAATGATGTGTAATGGGTACAATTTTGTATTATGTGAAGGTTTGCTATCTACCTTTCTCTATCATCTATCAAGTATGATGCACATGGTTTCAGACTGATCAATTTTAGAGATATTTGGCATATAAATAGTAAATTATATTTACTTATCTATAATGACATCTGTAAAAGGGAAATTTTCTGAAGAAAGTGTTGAGTTAACTGTCTGGAAATAGGCAAGAAAGAGTAAAATATATAGAAGATCTATGTGTAAAATATATCAACAAAATTTTTTTTTTTTTTTTATATGGAGATTGATTGTATTAAAAAATTGTCACTTATAAGGACTTCATTTGCAATAAAATACTTACATCTCAATATATAGACAACATGGATGTAGACTGCTACTCCTACTCCCGCTCACTCAAACAAGGAACTCTTAGCTCTTTTGATGCATGACTTTGACTAAGGTTGTTCATGCTACTTTTTCAATGCTAGATCATTGACTGAATTATTCTTAATAAAAATAAGTTTGGTAATATATTTGATAATATTATTAAGCCTAAAAATGATGTTACTTTGCTTTAAAATAAGTTTGTTGCTTCTTCTGGTGATGTTGCTTGGAATAAGGTGTGCTTTGCTAAGGCCAACCTGATTAACCTTCAGCATATGAGAGAATAATTTTGGTGTCAAAAAGTGGTTTACTAAGCACATATATATTGGAAGGTGATAGAAATACCAACTATTTTTAGGTTGTAGCTAATTCTAAAAAAGCTAAATCTCTCATTAATATGATCAAGTTGGAGTCAGATGAATGGTGTGATGATCATATCATGCTTTGATTTCTGAATCGACTATATCTTTAAAAATTCTTTTGGTTCGAGTAAGGAGTTTTAGCCTATCTCTAATCCTCATTTTATTCCTTATCTTATTCTCTGAAGGATAATTGTTTCATTTCTAATATAACTGATGAGCTTGAGATTTTTAATAATTTGATGAGCATGATTAAGAATTTTGTTGCTGGTCCTGATTGTCATTGTTGGAATATCATTGAGGATAAGGTTTCAGCATTCCTAATTTTTTTCTTTTACTTCTATCTTTTTATTTCCTAAAATGGTTAATCATGAATCTTGGAATGACTATAGATCTATTAGTCTGTACACCACTTTCAACAAATTAATTTCCAAATTTTTAGCTAATAGGTTCTCTCTTTTACTTCCTAAAATTATTTCGTTAATTCAAACAGGATTTGTCTAAGGCAGAAATGTCATTGATAATATTTTGTTTGCTTAGGAATTGATTCATGAAATTTACAAAAAAGTTCCTGGGCATAATTTAATTTTTAAGCTTGATATTTTCAAGGCGTGTGATAACATAATTTGCTTTCCTGTTTAACATTATGTTGCAATTCAACTTTGATGCTAATTCTATTAGTATGTTTAAAAGTATAATTGTTTGATAACATAATTTGCTTTCCTGTTTAACATTATGTTGCAATTCAACTTTGATGCTAATTCTATTAATATGTTTAAAAGTATAATTTTATAATTAAAATTTATTGGTTCTCTATCATTATTAATGGCATGTCTAATGGTTTCATCAAAGGTGCCTAGGATATTAGGCAATCAGATATGATAATCCCTACTCTTTACATTATTGTTGATGATTATTTATTTAGAGGTTTGACCTTTTTTTTAGACATATTTATCATCTTTACTATGTTGATGATATTATTATTTTCTATAATGAGTCTATTAAATGTGTTAAGAAAATCAAGAAGTTTCTTGCTATCTTCAAAAAGATAACTGGTCTTAAATTCAATAATAGTAAATGCACTTTTATTGGTGGTAAAGGTATGTCATTGGTGCATTGTAACAATATTAAATTATAAAGGTATGTCTCTTTTACTATCCAAAGAACTCCTTTATTTAAAGGTCATAAGAATTATTTTTTTATAATATATTTTTAGCTATTAACAATAAGCTCTCTCCCTAGGAATTCAAAATATTTTATATGGGGGCTAAGCTTATTTTTGATTAAGAGTATATTGTGCTCTATGCCCATTTAACTCTTCAAGACCGTTAATCCTACTCTTAGAGTTTGCGATAGATTGGATAAAGCTATTAATAATTTTTTTTTGGGGATCCACTACTAACTCTAAAAACATTCATTGATCCAACTTTCGTACTTGTACTGGTCCTCTATTGGAGGGGGTTTTGGGTAGTAAATCTATTTATGAGTGCTTAGTGAAATGTTTTCTTTTCACATTTTGGTGAAAATTCAAGAAAAATGATTCCCTTTGGGCTAATTATATGAATAAAAAATATTATAAGAATATGCATCTGACCACTTATTTTTTTATGCAAGGGTAGTCTCCTAGTCCAAAAAGGTTATGCAATATCAAATGGTCTATTGAAACTACCATTAAATTGGGAATGTACAATGGTTCAACCCATTTTTGGTTAGATGATTAGTCTAGTTTTGGGCTCTTGACACATAATTCAACCCTCATTCTATCTTCACATTGAAAGTGTCTTGGTTCATCAGTAATGATTCTTAGTCTAAAAATCATCTTCTTATATTTATTCATCAAAGTTTGGTGGATCACTTGCGTGAAATTTCTATTAACATTAATTGTAATGATCAAATTATGTTTAAATTATCTGAAGATGGTGACTTTAGTCTTAGTAGTATATTTGGCAAAATTTAGAATTCCTCTACTCTAAATTCTTCTATTTTAGCTTGGAGAATCTTAAAAGGTTATATTCCTATTAATAGCAGGTTACAAGAGAAAGAGAATTATTTGCTTTCTAAGTGTCAATGTTGTTATCATGTTGAGACTATTAGCCATGTCTTCTTGAATTAATGGCCCTACTGCTACCAAGGTTTGGACTGCTATAGAGAGAAGCCTACAAGTAAAATTGGATTTTAATAATAAGATTATTTTTTGTTGGTTTGTTTCATAACAAAGCTAAATGGCATATATTTATTGTCATCCCTTGGTCTTTTGGCTCCTTTGAGTTGATCGGAATAATAGCAAACATAATTGTGTTAAAATGATCTCTCTTATATTTTAAATTCCTTGTTACATAGCTAATGTGTTATCTCATAAGCATTTTAGAGGGAGGAAAGATTGGTCTATTTTTTTAATATTCATGGTTATAAGACTAATATGGTTTACATTGCTAAGATCACTACAAGAAAATCACGTGTTACCAGCGGACAAAATTTGTTGGAAAATGTTCCGTCGGTAATCTACCGAAAAAATCGTTGGAGTTTGTGACAAATTTATTTTCACTGAAAATTCTGCCGGAAAGGAGCTATTTTACTTTAGTGGATTATCAAGTGGTCCAAGTCTTCTTATGATGAATTTAAACTTAATATCATTATTCTATTTTGATGGGTCGTTGGGTGTGGTGGTTTGATTAGTGATTATGATGGCAGACTAGTGAGCTTTACTTCTAACATTCCAAATTTCAATGCCTTAGGTGCTAATTTGTATGCCCTTTTTAAAGGTTTGATGCTTTGCAATGATAACAATGTCTATAATTTATGGGTGAAAATGGTGTCTAAAGATTTTCCTTCTCTGATTACTATAAGGAAATGCCTGAATGCTAATTATTTTTATCTATTTTAAAAATTTTTTGGTTCTTCTCAGTAATTTTAGTTATAGAATTTATTATATTAAGAGGGATGGTAATGCTTATGTGGATTGGTTGGCAAAGGTGGGAACTTTGAGTAATAGGTATGTGCTTTTTAGTATGTTCAATGCTCCTAGAATATTGAAAGGTAAAATCATTCGTAATGCTTCAATTTTACCTTGTATCGAATGAGTCTGGTTATGCAAACCTCTTTGGTTGTCCTCTGTTCCTCCTGGCATACTATTATTGTTTGTGCACTTCTTTGACTTTTTGGTTTAGCTATGGTTTATTGTGGTTGCTTTATTTGCTATGGCCTATAGTCATTTTATTGGTTTTGTATTGTTTCTTCTCTCAATTTGTAGGGTTGGGCTTCTTAGGTTCTCCTATGTTAATGATGTTCTTGATGTTTCTTATCGTTTGTGGTGATTTTTTTCTGTCCTAGTTATGGGTGGCTAGTTTGGTCTTTCTAGCACCCTTTTGTTGGTTTTATAGGAGGTTGGGTTTTGTTGCTTTGTCTTAGTTTGGTGCTTCTCTAGCTAGTGGCAGCGGGTTAGCCTTGTGGTTTCTATCTGAATTTGGCTTGGGTGTTCTAGTGGGGTGGCTTGTTTCTTATTGTAGTATGGTGCTTTTTGGGCTTTTATTTTCTATCATGTAGCTTTTGCTAGTAGTGCTTGGTCTTTATGTTATGTTGTGAGCCAATTTTTTGGTGTGATGCTTTTTGTGGGTGTTTGTTTGTTGTTCTCTTGGTCTTTTGGATCATTTCTAAGGATCTTTTGCATTTGCTCAGGCTGCAGGTATGGTTGTTGTTGGCTTGTGTCTTGCTGTGTTAGTTTCTATTGTGATTTCTGTTCTGTGTGGTGCTCTTTTTGTTATGCTGAGGGTTTTATTACTTTGTGTATCTGGGTTCTTTACTTTGTAGTTTTTTTGTTGTTGTGGTGTTCGATTGTGGATAACTCTTTTAGTGCCTTTTTAGGTTTTTTAATTGTCTCTTTACTCTATTTCATTTACTTTATTGCTATATTTTGTGCTTTCTAACTCTATTTTGCAAATTGCATTTTGATATCTTAGTGATTATTGGTATATTCAAGCTTGGGCTTAATTTTTTAGTTTTGGCTGCTTGTCTATCATTTTATTTATTTTTCCCTTCTAATTAGATAGGGTTCTTTTACTCTTTAGTTTTTTTTTCATCTTTCGATTGTAGCTCTATGAGCATTTAGTGAGTGTTGGATCCCTCTAAGGACTTACAATTCTTTTTTTGATATTAACACGTAAATCATCTGTGAGTTTTAATAAAAAAATTAAAAAATATTTCTTCTCTTTAACAAATTGCATGATACAAGTAAAAAAATCACCATTTTCACACTCCATTACTGACTAAGTTTTCATTTAAATATTATGGCACATATAAAAAAAATTTTATGACACATGATCTTCGTATTTCATGAATTGTTTCTCATATGAGTTCTATTGCGCTTTCTACATCACATGTTGTTCTTTTATTGTGATTGTCATTTGATATATTTTT